CTCCAGTTTTGTTCCACCAATCCCTGCAGCTGTGCCTGCTTTAAAGCTGCATTTACGTGTTAATACTTTTCAGGGGACCACTCTTGAAATATATGGTCTATTCAGGCATTACATCATAAGCGAATTTTGTCTCATTATCATATCAGGAGGTTAAACAACATCTGGAGATGTGTCCAAATAACACTTGTGCTTGTTGGGACGCAAGATTGCAATCCCGCTTTTAGGAGTCGTTAGTAACTTGCATGTACCTGCTATGAATGCAGTGGTTATAGTCATAATCATAAGTTCGACTTCAAACTCTTTATTATACTCCATGCTCCAAAGAAAATCTGTTTGATCTCAGGATGACCTGTGTTATTTGGCAGAAGCTGCAGAAGTAGAATAAGGGCTTACTGTGTCTATAATAACTGAATTCATGCCTTTCGCATTGAAGAAGACATAGAATGCAAAACTGTCGAAATCAATGAACTGCCTTTTTCCCCGATGTCCAGTGGCACGTACGTGTCGCACACCAAGGGAGCGTTTTGGTAGGTTTTGAACAAAAACGAGGCGCAACGAAAAGCCATAGGGACAAAAGCTTTGGCAGTGGTGACCCACGACTTGAAATCGATTGAGCCGTATTTGAGGTTTGCATCCGCAAGCAATTGCGCACAGCCCGGAAATGACTTCAGGGAGAAAGGACCAGAACTCTTGGCGGTATTTAAAGAACAGTATGCGTCTATGTGTAACATAAAATACAACGGTATGCGTATTTGAGCCTTGTTCGTGTTATGCTTTTCAACATGTCTCACAAAGAACGCCGTTATGCTGTAACCCCTTTTCCTCGGCTTCTGCCATGTGGTTTTTTTCACTTTCTTATAATACTGATGCAACAGATATGCAAATCGGCAATTAATTAATTTAATTACTGTTTAAAGCAAGTACTGGCAAGAGAACGTACAAGTCAGGTCATTTCCGCGGTCAAGCAAAGGTCATCGGAACGCTCGCATTCACGTACTGGTCATCAAACAGTGAACCTGCGCGGCGCGGCAGAATGTCGGTATTTTCTCCGGCGCCCTTGAACCCTGATATCTGAACTTCAGTGAGTGCGACGCTCCTTGGCCGATATTTAAATTTCGCGGCTACCCTTAGCCGGTGACATCGTGATTTATTAGATGACATGAAATTATACGTCATGCCGTCTACCTGTTGCACGGGGGCCTTCGGTGTCTGCTTCCGGATCAAGGTGTGATCAGTAGAAATGTCGCACTCCAGCATTTCTTTGAATTTCAGGGTGTGTACCTGTGAATCATGTCGTTGAACAGTAGGCAGTCGGTGGCACCGCCTTAGAAACCCAAGGCATTGATGCGGCAACTTCGGTCTCTACGCGTTTCTTGAGATCATCACATG